TATTATTATTATTATTTTAGCTTTTTCTCGCTTTATGCGGTTGACCTACAGATGACGGGTAATTACCAAGTCAAAAGTAGAGTATATCTATTGCTGTAGAAATGTTCGAGTTATGGATGCCGTTTTCAGAAGGACTGCTTTTTGTATCTTTGTGTGTAAGTATGGGTGAATGTCAAGTTTTTTAAGATGTTGCAAAAAGTTTTTGCTAGTAACTCCTGTGACTGAGATGATGAGTGGAACTATTGTTGCCTTAATGCTGTTGCCAGAGTTTTTTAACACTTCTTCTTTACTTATTATTATTTATTATTATTTTTATTATTATTCATTATTATTATTTTACTTTTTCTCCGCTTTAATGCGGTTAATTATTATTATTATTATTATTATTATTATTATTATTATTATTAATTTAAGATCTAAATAAACACCCAGGAATTTCACCGATTCAATATTGCTTGCATTTTCCCTTTTGTGCGAACAAAATTAACGTTTGCGTTTCTTGCATATTCATGTGTAATTCGTGCATGGAACCAATCTTCCCCCACATCACTACGTCGCTCCGAAAATGAAATGGGATATGCTTATATCAATTAACGAAAATTAAGAACAATAATAAATCTCGTAACACGAGATCATTTACTTTGGATTCGAATTTTTGAATTTTTTTTAGAAATGAGAAAAAGGGGAGATTTAAAGTTGGAAAACATATCAAAGTTCTGAAGTGTTCTAGGAAGTGTCTTTCTAAACAAATAAGTATTGCCTTGGTCTTTAATGAAGTAAAGAGACAGAGACGGACTGGATTATTTCTGGTTGATGTCCAGTGCTTGTCAAAAACGTACAGTTTGACTAGCATTGTTTTTCAAACTTACAAGTGCTTTCATTGTGCTTTTATTCGCACGTGCGTAACGTTTGTTGATAGTCATAGAGATCAAAGCATACGAATTTATCAACGGTGCTATGTCCATAGTCAACTGCCACAACAATATTATTATTGAACGCCCTCTACAATGTATTAGTATATTAGTTATGTATTAGCAAAATGCATATAACGTAGGTATACATGTGACGATTTAAAACGGATTAGGTTTTTTTAATTTTCTTCCAATTTTCATATAACGTATATACGGTATACCGTATACGATATATACTTTTTGGTATTAGTACTACATCCTGCATACAAACTGATATTAGTAAATCGGAAAAAATAAGACCCTTGGCATACATTTTGGTTGCACACGCATTAGCTCGCAAACCTTCATTAAACTTGTATTTCACACAACGCATCCATAACAAAGGACAGAATAGGGTACAATGAAGCATAATTTACGATTCGACAGTGACTCTGTTCTTTACATTTAGGTACCTATACATTAACAAATCCCTACATCCGGTAATAGTATTAATATTAATTAAAGTTTCTGTAACTATGAATACCTAATGGCGCACAAAACGTAAGAGTGAATAGACCAAATAGCACGACACGAGCACAATTCAGTTGTAAACTTTGATCATACTTTCCTATTCTGAATATAAAAAAATACGTATCGGAATTATTTTTGTGGTACAAAAAATGGAAGGCGCAGCTAAGAAACAGTACAACAAGTTAAAAAGTAATCGTAAACGATTTACATAAAGCCATTTCCACTTGCATTCATTTCCCATTTGTAAGATGGAACTTCTGTTAAAATCGTAAAAATCCGGCCACAAATATGAAAGAAGATAGCGTTGCACATGGGCAATCCATGTTTGACGTGCTACTTCAATTTCAATTTATAAGAAGAATTTCATTTCAATGCTTTTCTAAATAAAAAAGTTGGAACTGCGCATGCGCAAACCTAAATTTTGAAAATAATGTTAGATTTTCCTTTGTTTCAAGCGCCTAAGTATCAAATTTCATTTAAATGCTTCCATAAATAAAAAAGTTGGTACTGCGCATGCTCAAAGCCAAATTTTGAAACTGGCGTTTGATTTTCCTTTATCCCAAGTGCCTATGTATCAAATTTCGTTTAAATTCTTCCATAAATAAAAAAGTTGGCACTGCGGATGCGAAAACCAAATTTTGAAATTGGCGTTTGATTTTCCTTTATTCCAAGTGCCTATGTATCAAATTTCATTCAAATACTTTTATAAATAAAAAAATATTTGCCATTTGGTTTATAAATGGTCGAGAAGCGAAAAGGGCACTGCGAATTTTGAATCGATTCGACTCAACTTTTGGCATTACGTATTATATGGCTAAAGCTATGCCCATATTGAATTTCATGCAATTCAGTTCATAACTAACGGAGATGTAAAAGCGATCGGACATTTCTAAACAAAGTTATCGTTCACACTGACAGATAGAGGGACA